ATACTGTTTTGGCCTTGTCCTTCCGTGTGTACTTACTGTAGGGGAACTGAAATTTGTTAGATTGTTTACATATTGTGCAGGCTGGCGCCGTGAAAACATTATGTACATGCATCCAGAGCACATTCAGACATGGGCCACAGATACAATGCTTATTTTTAGCTCGCGTGCGCAGGTCGGGGGTTGTGCGCTCCTAGGAAAGTTTTTTGGTTAAGCGGTGCTTAGCGCTTATGAGCGCGAAGAATAAACAGAGAAGAGGTTTTGAAATTAAGGACAGGGCGTTTGTGTGGGGCGCCGAGCATTTTTTTCTTTGTAAATAAACCTTGAATGACACACCTCTAGTATCTGCTGGTTTTCTTAACGAGTCTGCGAATCGAGTCTGCGAATCCTGAGTTATTGTTCTCCATGGACTTGGGCCACTACATTGCCTTACATACCTAGTGTGGACTTGTGAACAAAAGATGTCCACAGGATGCAGGAAAGGAAAACGTTGTGTGGACTTACACACGTCTACACAGGGTTTCCTCTTCTCTGGAAAAGAGGTTTACAGGTATTTTGGGGTAGGGGTCATCTGTCATAAAAGGAGGAGGAATAGTCAAGGAAACCTTGTACAAAAAAGCCTGATGAAAATCATGTTCCTGGTTCAAGAAAAATGAGTATTTTCATTGAGTTTCTTTAACTGCACGAAAAGAAAGGAATGTCCACAGTAGGTTTGTACCGGTACGGTAAGTATGGGTGTGCACTTCCACAAATCTTGTCAGCATGATAACTATTTATCTGTTTGACTTCAAATTTGGTTAGTGGATTGCTCTCTACGGTCTCAAGAACCCTCTTGAATTCGGTGGCAAAACTTGTTAAGATAGAAATGTGTACACAGCTGTTTTATGTTTTCCTGTTTTACTGCAGTTTGCTCTATTGAATCATGGTTAGGGGATTTCATTCAGGGCTGGGCATTTGTGTTTGTAAACACACCTGACTTCTTGTTATTTCCTGTTGAAATTTCAGTTCAACTTTAGTCTCTTGCAGCTGAAGAATATAGACTGAATCGCTGGTGCTGTTACTGCGGTGTCCCTGTCACTCAGGCATGCTTTCTTGCAGACGTGCACGTTTTTGGTTAACAGTGCACTCCCTTTGGCTGAAGAAGCATGCAATGTGCATCTCTTTTGTTCATGCACGAGGGGACACCACAGTAATGGCTCCTGATTCTGGTCACGAGCTCAGTCTAATCATTTTACCAAGATGGTGCAAATTGAATAATAGTCAACATTGATCTGGTTACGATCCTTGAAGCATAACCCAATGCAGGCTATGATATGGCCTACTGTATCAACAAGTCATTTAATGTATGCCTTTCTGCAGTTCATTAGCTGATTTGTTGTTCCCACAATACATCTCTGCTTCTTTTCAGGAGGACAAATGAGATCTTTTTCTGTGTCTAATTGGAAGCCTAACCTTTCACAGGAAAGTGTTGGTTCCCATTTTATTTATTGTTAGTTGTGACTAACCATCCAGCTTTAATCTGATCACCAAGTAACTGCCCTTGACTTTGTGCTGCTGAGAAAGAGGGGCCATTCCCAGTCTATCATTAAGATAGAAAATACTTCCTGGCCTTCTCTCCTCCACTTTCTGAACAAATTTATCTTTATCTTGGTGAAGATGTACATGTATGGGGCAGTGCTCAGCCAAGTCGGAAGTGGGCTGTGATCCATGGTTGGATGAGTAAGAATTTCCCTAATTAAACGAAACAAGATAAACTGAAGATTCTAACATAGTAGCAAAGTATAAACCACTTGCACGGAAAGACTTACTTGAGATTGCACCTCCAAAATTATTCATCAGACTGGAGAGAGCCTTTGTTGACAGGATGGCCTCCCTGTACATGTAAATGTGAGTCCCTCAGTTCATACCTCAATATTTCTGTGGAAAGTTCAACTTTTGTCGTTAATTAGGAGGGGGATTTTTATTGTTGCCTGTGAACAGTTTATCTTCTGGAATAAGACTGGACTGCAAGTCTTGCAGTGCTTCACGTTGTTCAGTAGAATCATAAACTTCAAGTTCTACTCATCAATTTCGGCTAATTATGCAGTCCAAAAGTTTGTACCACTTTGATAGATTATCCCCCAACAAGAGCCCAGTTATGGGCAGTTGAACAGAGTAGAGAGACGAACATTGGGAGTTTGGGTCGGGCTCGAGGAGGTCTTTCCTCCTGAAATTTAGCATACATGTAGTGACAGTGTGATCAGTTATAGTCGCTGCATCCAGTAGATTTGACATTATTGCTTTGTTGTCCGTGGCAGTAGGCACCATGCCTCTCAGGGCCATGTGCTTTACCTATTGTAGTTTGAGGTCTGTATTTTGACTGCTGAGAATTCCAGACTTTTGGATTAATTTTGGTACTATAAAATTCTGGACTGTCGACAGAGTGCTTAACACTATGTAAGGTCTCTGTCACCTAATCTCTGACATTATCTTTTGGATCAGTTTGCCAGTGATACTTGCCATTTCTTGAATGATTGTCAACGCTGTGTAGAATTGTTCTATTTCATTGATTACCCCTGCTGATGAATTATCACCAGCGTCAGACTTGAGGAGCTAGTCAAATAAATGGCCTTTGGGTCATTCTACAAATTTAGGATCCAATTTTTTTTCTGTCCCTGCTACATCTGACATGGAGTTTAAATGCTTAGGAACTCATCAGCAACAAACTGATAAACCATTAAAAGTGAAAGGGACTCTATTTTAAGATTGTTTTCAAGTAAATTGGTGCTTTTCATCCTATTTTATCTTCATTTGTTTTCTAGCAGAATTGCTTTCAAAGGTTTTTACAAAGTCTCCAGAGGTTTTTTCAGTGTTTATTTTCTTCTTGTGGCAAATTTTTACACAGTGGGACGATGTCGAACGGATATGACATGTGAAGATGATCCCGGCATTTGTATAGGTTGGTCAAAAAGATGTAACAATGTGACTGATTGTGCTGACGGTAGTGATGAACAGAATTGTATTGGTAAGTCTTGCTCATGTGGAGCATAAGTAAGGATCTCTCAATTTCAGTCGTGGCAAGTAGAGTAGAGATAGTAGGATGTGTTAACTGGGAGCAACAAAATGGACATTAACCACATTTCATGCACTTGTTGCACACTATACGTACTATACACAAAACCTCCTTTTTTCTAGGCTCTGATAGAATTTGATGTGAGCCAAGAGCAAAAAACTGAAAGAACTGTTTCATAAACAGCTTTAATCAGGGCATGCTTATTTTGTCACTGTTATGAGTTGTTTACATACATGTATTTCCCAATGTATAAGACCACTTTTTAATGTTTTTGTTTATATTATTATATATGTTGGGTTCATTTGTGATCCAGCTTCTTCGTGATTAGAAAAGACTCACTGTGACAATATTCTGTTGGTGGTTTGAGTTTCACTTTTAATGACCAGCATTTCTAACCACACTAAAATACGAGGAAAAAGTTAATGAAACCAACACAGATGTAGCCAATTCCCTGTAAGTCCATCACAAGTCTGGGACGAGTCATTGATTTTTTGATAAGCCAGGTCACAAGCTATATATAGACCCCTTGCTGCTGATACTTAGAAATGGTTTCTTTAACGCGGCAAGGAACCATTATTAAACATGAAGTGCAATCCCTCAATTCAGATGATCTCTAACAGAAGCATTATTATGTCATTGTTCACTCCATTACTTGTGATTGGTCTCATGGAAGCACTTGTGACTGGACTTGTGCTGAGGGGACCCATTAAAGGACTCAACTACAACACTGGAAACCAACGCTTGTATTTTACTCTACAGATTGACACTTTAAATCATGTAGAATTAAATCAGGATTATATATCACTGCATTCCTGCACCATATTTAAAACAAAACCAGTGGCTGAAATCAAACACAAAATATCTGCATTGCAGATTTCTGGTTACATCAATTCTGTGCACCCATTAGCATTGCAGGTACCGAGGGACTAAGAGATAGGTTTTTGCCATTTGAATCGTGTAAAATGTTGACATTTATTTTTCAGTAGAGAATCTGCAGAAAAATCAGCAATGATTTTTAAATCATTAATTTATACCAATGAATTAAAAAACGCATTCAACTTAAATTGCGATTTAAATTGGTGGCTTAATTAAGAGGATAGCAATCGCTTTCAATTTATGAACACTTGCTGTATGCTTTGTGGAGCTCACATCATTACTTTACAGTTAAGAGCTTGACACTTCCATTTGTTGTGACCAGATCATCGGAGAGATACGTGTTCAGACGTAAGCTTTAATTGCTCTGATGGCACGTGCATCTTACAAAGTTGGCGCTGTGATACTGTTGAGGATTGTCCTGATGGTTCAGATGAAGTCAATTGTGGTGAGTGGAGCGAAAATGTACGTGCTTAAAATCTAATCCACACAGTTTTGTTTTGTTTGTTTGCTCATTTTTGTATTAGAAACCTTGGAATGGTAGACTGCATCAGATATATAACGTTTTCAATTGAAACTACATAAAAGAAGAGAAAAACTGACTTTGAGTGCTTACGTGCACCCCAAAAAAATCATGGCAGAGAATAGTGTTGGGCGGTTCCAGAATTCTCAGAGCCGGTTCCGGCTCCAGCTAAGGACTACGATTTGAAGTTAGAACCGGCTCCCAAAGAAATAAAGAAAAACATAAGGTTTAATGAAACACATTAAAAATCTGTCGCTGCCATGCTGCGCGCATAACGCCGGTGCCACTGCACTCACGAATGGCACAACAGACTGGCTTTTGGCCTTTCGTAGGCTTTAAGATTATCCACAGTGGGTATTTTGAATTTTATTTTTACTTCTTTGTAGACTAGTCATGGCTGGAATAAATCTGCAACATGTATGTACAACCATGATACAACTCAGCACTGCTTCCTCCTGCACTATTTTTCACTCTATGTACATGTATAAAAAGACTTTAATCAGAACAACAACCGATTCGCCGTTGCACTACATGTAACTTTACCCATAATACAAATGGAAGTTTGGAACCATGCCGTGGAACTTCATGTATGGACTGGATCATGTGTACATGTACTTATTGAACATGTGCCAACGTATCGTAAATGGCCATGGACCATGCATAAACTGGTCATTCGTCCACAGTGAGTGCATCAGAAACTCTGATAAGTCCACGATCTTGTAAGCTATGCCATTGCCCGGGTCCATGCATGGAGCCAGCTCTGAAGTGAGAAAATGAGAACTGAGACCCTCGCTGGTGCATAAGCCTTGCAGAGAATCTTTGAGAGGACAGTTGCAAGGAAGTAGCGGAAAGAGAATAATTACTCATAGATATTTTACAACCAGCCTCCAGTGAAAAACCTGACAACTGACCACATTTATAAGAGCACATTTTAAGAAAGATTCTACTCGGACTAAAACTTTTTAGATTTTGTATATTTAAGGTCACCCTAGTAATTCAAGCAGTTTGAAGCAGTTTTGTTGTTCACAATTTACAATTCTGTACATACTAATCGAGAATTTAAAACAGTTCAGAACAATAAAACCTTGCCAAACATTTCATTCATTACTCTGACAAACATTTTGAGGGAAGGTTAAGCTAGGTTAGCCGAGCCCTCCAGCCTACCAACTCAGAAGAATTGGGCCTCAAAGAATTGCAGCCCGCATGGAGTGTTGAATGCCTTTCCTTTGTTGACACTTTTTACAGAGGGCTACACCTGTCCAACCGACCACTTCAGCTGTTCGTCAGTGATGAGGTGCATTCCAGCCACAGAGGTCTGTGATGGTTACAACGACTGCGGTGATAGAAGCGATGAAGCAAACTGTGGGGGTACGTGGTTGCCTCTTTTTTTTAGCCACACTTTGCACCTGGAATAAGCTGTAATACTCATATTGTTACATGTGCATTGTTTTGCTTTTGGCAGAGTCTTGCACTTGATAGTAGGTTAAAGTCATTCATCAAGGTAACCCCTTTGCAATGGGATGCTGGTTGTGCAGACTTAAAATACCTCCAAAATGGGCTATTATTTGTAAGATTTGCATTATAACTCTCCAGTATCAAACCAGAAACTTGAAGAACAGGTGTTTGGTGAAAGAATGGAATTTGACCATTTTCTTGTTTTGTTAAACATTCTGTTGCCTCAGAACTAATCCTTGCCTATTCACGGTGTAAACATTACAGTTTTCCAGGTTTCTTAATTGGAGATGGACACTTTCATCATTGTCAAACTCTGTTGACTTCCCCCAAAACTCATTTGCTTTTTTTTTTAATATGTTTGTTACTTTCTCATCAATGGCAGCGCAAGTGAACTGTTCATCATGGATGTTTTCTTGTCATAGTGGGAACTGCATTCCCCGGTATTGGCGGTGTGATAATCAGTTTGATTGTGCAGATGGATCAGATGAGCTAGACTGCCGTGAGTCTGATTTACTTGTTCATGTGAATGTAATGTGGGTGTAGTAAAACCAATTTTCTGGTGTGATCCATGAAGAATGCTATTTTCCGGAGCCAGTGTCAAGGGAAACTGCAGAATTCTCCATGAATCACCAAAGGGAGGCTAGTTTTGTTTTATAACACCTCGCCCACAGACTCTGCTCAAGTAATAATTGATTAATATGGTGTAACTACATATCAAAATACATCTGTTTGAATAAAAATTTTGTTGAAAATTGACCAGGTAATAAGAAACTTGTTCAGCTGTGAGAAAACTGCGAGACTTTTCGTCTGGTTCCCGAACAAACTAAAGATGAAAACTTTTTCAAAATGGTGGGTGGAGGTGATTCAATGACTGTTTGATGACTGCTGTTATGTTGGAAAGGAACAGTCATCTTAAAATTAATTTTTGTCTTCATCCAAGAAATTCAATATTTTTAAAACATGGCACAGCTGCGCAACCTTTGTGAAATCGAACGTAAGTATAGTGCGCAGCTATGGCATAAATTTGTGGCACAAGGCTTACGCATGCTTCAAAGTTACGCCACGTTTTGTGAAATCAGCTGCTGAAATAACAGGCACATGTAGACTGGCAATGAGGTCACAAGTTAGTGTCTGTACGTCTTGAGGGACATTGAGTGACCCTCAGTCTTCTGGTCACTCACAGGATGGAGACGGATATACACGAGCTAGTGACCAAATTAGTCTGGTCCTTATGTGGTTTTGTAGCACACCTCTGTCTAAAATACTGAATAAGAGAATACGGTTAGCATAGTGACTGATAGTGCACCATACTTTTGAAATCACATACCCTCTGTCTTGACGCATGTCTAGGTCTTGTGAGTGCAGTTTCATGTACTTAACAGTGTAATGGGACAACGAGAATAAGAAGCCATTACTACAGTGGTACAATGCTTGTGGACAGGTGGTATGCGCTTATTTCATGCCTCTGACTAGAAGAATGTCATGATTTGCCAAATATACGTGCATGTCAAGCTGAAGAATGTATGTGTGAGTGTGGTGCCACTGCAGTTATGGCATTTAATTGGATTGTCCCCATTTCAGACAGGCAATTCAGTCACACCGAACCAAATTAAAAGCAAATTTAGAATTAAGTACGGCAAAAAGTTCAACATCTGAAACAATCACAAGTGACCAAGTGTTGCAAGTAGGTGAAAGATCTAATCAACAACAACACCTGCAAGACTGGGTTTTAGACATCGCTCTTTTCATGGGCCAAACGAAATGCAAATGTATGTATTAGGTTCATCTGCCTATATTAAAGCAAAATTTAACTGGTTCAACCTGAGTCTCTCTTAATTCTGTTTGGTTTGGTGCGGCACTAGGATGCCAGTCTGAAACAGGTGTTAGCCTATGTTATTGAAGCCCACATGAACATGTTTGAGCTAGCCTGGATAAAGAACTCGCAGCAATTTCTTCAGTTACTTTTCGAATAACTGTAGATGATGGACCACACCTTCAAGTGGCATGCTACATTATTTAAATCGCCCATCAAACCCTGCTTGAAAGATAGACCTTGAGTAATTTCAGGGCCGATCATTGTAGTTGATAGGATGCTGGTAGTACAGGTAGGTTTTCAAAGATTGTAGATTCAAATCCCCCTCAGCCCAGAAAAAAGTGAACAAACCAAAAAATCCATTTCTTCGTGTGTTTTGAGTGTGTTCTGAAAATGCTCTTCCGTGAATTTCAGCCTCTGGAGGAAATGTGTGTCTGTTGGAGGACTCTTTTAGGTGTGTGTCTTCCAGGATTTGTATCCCGGGTCGGTGGCAGTGCGACGGTATTGCTGACTGTGATGATAGCAGTGATGAGCCAGATACCTGTCGTAAGTCACCACCTTCTGAAGAGTAATCGTTTTTTGATATGTCTTTTGAGAACTCATCATGGCACAAGTCAAATATGCAAACTATTTAATGTGCTGCATCAAACTCTACCACCCAGGACGACTATATCAACATCGTGGCCAAAGTGTTTCCTTCAAATAAAAATCAGTTGCCTTACTTTTCTGTTGGTCAGTGGTAAGGCATGGAGTAAGGGAGAAAAGTTTCTGAGAATAGATACTGAGAACCCCACCAACATGTGGGCCATGGTGCGATTTGAAGCCAGGCCGCAGAGACAGACGGCAAGGAAAGTGCTGCTGTGCCGACCTGACTCCCGTTCCAAGTAAATATATCCCAAGGGTTATAGAGTCGCTGTAGATCTGGGGATTATGTACTGGTCACTGTTCCTCTTCATGAATCGTTCTGTGATATGTTTCCTTACTTAGCTCCCGTGGTTTGCACTGGATTTCAGTGTGACACCTGCGTACCTGATTGGTGGGTCTGCGATGGCTTCAGTGATTGCCGGGATGGTAGTGATGAAGTAGGATGTCGTAAGTTCAGTCATGCTACATGTTTACCCCGGGCTGCTTCCTTCTACTTCTGGTTTCAGTTTAATCTAGATAGTGTTGTGTCTAATCCTGACCAAAACAACCCAGAAAGGTTAAAAACTACACCGTCTCTCTGCACACACATTGGAAAAAAGGCTGAACCTGTAAGAGGGACTGAGTATAGATATTTGATTCGAAGGTCACACAATAGACGCTTTTTAAGTGTGACACTCGCCACCCCATTTGCCATCATCTTTGTCTCTGAGAGCACCCTGTATGAATGAGGGAATTTTACTTTACCGAACAAACAATTTCCCTGGCATGCCCATGTGGCCCAGAGTAGAAATGGAGTTCTCTAAATTGGCATGCACTTTGTGTGGGCACCAGGCAAGCAACACCAGTGATGTTTGTAGCCTCTCCCTTTGTCACTGGTGAGGGGATGTCGTATTTGTGTGTAGCGTAGAGCAGGTTCCAGAGATCACATATCAAATTCTAAGAGAGCTTCAACAATCAATTTGCACGTTGCAAAGTCTCAGTGCCCAGTGCACTGTAACTTTTTCTAGATTTCAGGATTTTTTCCCCCAAAATCATGTATTTGAAATGTTCGTCATTCAGGATTTTCTTCCTTTTTGTTTTTAAGGAAACAAATGTATGGTCACATAGTTTTACTGGTGTCTGCCTTGTTGTTCAATACCCTCAAAATGACACTATTTTGTCATCATTGTTATAACCCATTTGCTAAATATTTTGTGGAGTTTTCATCACCCAACCTCACCTACCATGCATTCATTGTCAAAGTATGGCAACAGATAGTATAAGACCAGTGTGATCTTTAAGCAGACTGGGCATGGCCCCAGGCACCCATGGGTAAAGCTAGCACCACACTGAATAGTTGCAATCACACCTGTTGCTGTTTGTAAGTCGAAGAACAAAAATCCCCTTGACTAGCAATTGAAGATGTCAGTTGAAACCTGCATTGCAAGAAATACTTTAGGTTCTGAAGGCGAAATGAATGACCCAAAACTTTAAAACTCAAAAATCTCAAACGAAGATAGACCCAATTTGTTGAAACATATAAGTAGGCCTACCTTGCATTTTCAAGCGGCTCAAATAAGTAAAAGATAGAAAAGAAAATTGATAATCTCTGTGAACTTCTTGTTAAATGTAAAAATAAAGTGTATGTACCCAAAACAACCAAACAGAGGCCTCCACCCCCCCCAAAAAAATCAGCCATTTCAGCAATAATACTGAAGCAATAATGGAGGAGGTAGTCATTTGGTCAATCAGAACAATGATCATGAACTTGCAGGCATATTCAGCTTAGGGCCTTATGTATTAGGTCAGTTTGCCTTGGTTGAGTCATATTAAGCTGAAAGACTAGCACAAGGTAAAATTGATGAGCAGAATCATTGGGAAAATCTATTCGTGAATGAAAATAAAAGTGTGATGGGTTGGTTTTCACATTATAAACCCAGGCCTGTATCCTGTGTTCTGTTGCCGTCATACTTTTATTCCGCCCCCCTCCTGTAGAAAGGACTGAATTTTGTCATTGTTCTTGGTTTGTAGCCACACCCACTTTTGTCTGCCCTGCCGAGTACTGGCTTTGCCCAGACACTACCCAGTGCATTGCCTTTGCATCCGTGTGTGACTTGACAGAAGACTGCCCCCATGGTGAAGACGAAGGCCCTCAATGCAGTAAGGCTGGCACAGATCTTTTCCTTGTCAACACTGGCTAGAAAGCTTACATGGCCATTAAGGATTACAGCAGTTTTCCTTTCTTACACCTGAGTAGACTGAGTCAATAAGCCCGAGTTACTTTATTACCTTCATGAAGGCATTTGTTTCAAATTACCAGTCATCCTGTTGTTTGTTACCAAAGTTATGATCAAACCTGATAAAACAAATGGCTTGATTACAAACCCTCAAAGTGACTTGATCAATAAATCCCAGCCTTGGCTGCAGAATCCTCCGAATTTGGAAGTGCAACCCCTCAGTAAACTGCTGCAGTATCTGCACAATGCCATGAGCCCCAGTTTGGTACAGAATGTCTTCGTACTTTAGGCAGAGGCATCACGTGGTAGTTAAACAAGCAGCAGCATTTCATACTTGACTCAGTACAGGTCAGTGAAGACCTTCTCTTGGTCTGTTTCTCCTACAGATGATGCCTTTTGCTCAGAGAACAATGGTGGTTGCAGCCATAGGTGTCTCGATACGCCCTTTGGTGTTGAGTGCACTTGCCCTCCTGGTTTCTACCTCAACACCACCAAACACTGCATGGGTGAGGTTTCAGATGGTAGAGTATTTTTATAATGAAAAACAATCTTGTCTATGAAATGACCATTAACCAAGCCTTATGCACCCAACTCTGAACCTGAACCATTAACGTTTTGAGATTGCATCCAAGGATGGTTTCACATGATGAGTACAAAATAACAGCTTTCAACCCCGTCGTCATGTTCCAAACTTTGCAAGAGTGGGCCCACGGCTCGCAGGAATGACCCCTTGTTAATCAAATAAATTCTTTTTGTCATCTCTCTGACTCTCAATAGATATTGACGAGTGTGCCCATGTGGGGACTTGTAGTCAAGACTGCTCCAACGGACTCGGTACCTTTCAGTGCTTCTGCACAGACGAGTACCTCTTAGAACCTGATGGAAGAACGTGCAAAGTCACAGGTGCGAGGTGAAACATTCTTATGCCCTGCATTAGGTTGACCTCTGTTTTCGCAGGCTCAACTCATGCACAGATTTGACAACTTGCCTGGGCTGTTACCACAGTGAGTGGTTAATTCTTTTATCAGCAAAGTTGAGCCCGAGCTGCAGTTACAAATATTTGTGCCAATCCCCGTAACAGTTTGGGTCCCCACTATTTCAACGTGTACATGTTCCAACTCGTACCTTCAAGCTCATCAACCGGTAAAAACACCACCCTGTACCTGTTCCAACTCGTGCACATGCCAACTTGCGTGTAGTTGTCTTACTTCAAAATGCTAACGGATCATCTTCTGGTTCATAATCAGTGCAAGTTCTGAAAAAAAGAATACATGCAGCAGTAACATTCCTCCTTGAACAATCATTGCTGGTGCATACAGGGTGGTACAGTACCTACATGAGTTTGCATCAATTCAGTTGAGTACTACAGAGATTGCGCATGTGTTGACCGTCATTCTTTACACCAGCCCCCCTAAGTCCTGGCCTCGTAGGTAGTCATCACGGTGACAGTTTCGTGTTCTTTCACCCATAGTGTGGACGTTGCTTGTTGCTTTTAGCATGTTGTATTAGGTGCCACAGTTTGTAATTTTCTCTGGGGGTTTCCTATGGACTTGTCAAACGTCAAACATTCATCTTGTTATCAAAGTGTATGAAAACCTGAAGTGCTTTATTCTCCTGTCATACTTTATTTACTCTTTATTTGTGGCAAAATAAGAGCTGTTCTCGCTGTTGTCTTTCTGATCCAGTTTCTCGAGACCTGACTTTTTGTAGCTCTGTTTGCTGTCCTTTCCCTCTTCTTTCCAGTGCAAAACTAGGCTGACATTTGTCTATTGCATTGTGCATAAATTAAAAAATACACTTAAAAGTGTTAATTAATTTTAGATTTTTGCCCTCCCGACATGTATTATCCGACTGCCTGACATGTAATACATTTTCAAATTAATTTCAACAGATCCGTCAACTCCGTACCTGATAGTTACACGCAGAGGGGAAGTTATGAGATTCTCTCTTTTAGAGCAGCGCATGGATGTCATACATAACTCCAATTATGAACCAATCACCGCATCGGATTTTGACTCGGTGACAGGCAATATCTATTTCTCCAATTCTCAAGACGACAATTTATTGAGGACTGATATTAACGGATCAAGTGCAGAGGCGGTAAGGCCAAATTTTGTGGAGCTGTGTAGCAGAGCATCTCGGCCAGCTAATATGAGTGCGAAGACAAAATCAACATAGAACCACTCACATCTCACTTGTTTCATCAAAAGCTTTCTGTTCACATTATATCAAAAGTGTGTTCACACTTGGCATGATGAAGCTGATCATGAATGCAAATTGTTGAAGGCAGAGGAAATATTTAGACTGCTAAAATTGAAACAAGTTACACGCATGTCACTGCCAAAGTTTGGTGATGTCAAGTTTGCTTTGGCAGGCATTCATCCGGGAACAATGTACGGGTCCTAAACATCTGAATCGAATGAAGTTTGGGAAAGAAGTGTTTCTCATTTTTAAATGTGTTACTTATGTAGCAGGAAGTAAACATTTTGAGCCAGAGTCTCCAAACACAGGGACCCTGTATTATGAAGTGGAACCAATACTCCAAACTGGTTTAAAAAAAAGGTGTGAGATCGAACGTCCTTTGCTGTGTCTCATGGTCTGGTGACATTTCTCTTCCAGGTCTACAGTAATGGCATTGCATACGTGGAAGCCATCGCAGTGGACTGGGTAGGTCGTAACATCTACTGGGCAGACCGCGTCATTGATGTCATTGAAGTCTCCAGTCTAGATCGGGATCACCGTGCAGTCTTAATCTCACAGAATATCAGCAAACCCCGGGGGCTATGCTTAGACCCATCGGAAGGGTGAGAGCAGTCATTTGCTTCCTGCTCACATAGATGCCCTTTAAGGCAACCCCCCTCCAATGTACAATACATACAAGAAGGAAAAAGAACATGCAGGGTTTTCTCCAAATGGTTGACGGTGGCTTTGTCTTTGGCTTGGTCTGATGGACAAAAGATATAGCCGGAAGCCATAGCCAATGTTTGTTTCTTTTCAAACATGGATTCTCCTTTCTGATGAAAAGAATCAAGGATGAATCAAGGAAACAACTACTTACCAAGAGGTGTCCAAACTTCTCTAGTGTCTAGGATTGACTAGACGATGTGTTCACATGATGCAATAGTGAATATATTCCCAGGGCTGATAAAACACATTCGTAGATGGGTTAAATTATGAATCCCCCATCAAGTTTGCAGTGGTAAACGTGGTTACGCATATCACTCCCCATTGGCTTTTGTATGCACATAGTGCCTGTCAAGTCCATGGTGGGTGGACCTCATAGTGAAACTGAAATTGGCCACTGCACACAGCCCTTCACAGTAAAGTTTGAACAATGACTATAGATAACTATAGTTCAACCAACACTGCCGGAATGATGGATGGTTTAGATCTAGTCGACCATTTGGGACTAGGCCAAAGGATATGGTTGCACCGCTGGTTATGAATAGTCAGTTTCATTTATCAGTACAGAGGGAACCCTTCCCATGAAAATAATTGTGTGAGATTTCAATGACCATGTATTGCAGCCAATGGTGTAATGTGAGTAATGATGAGATTTGGTACTCTGTGTCTTGGCTTTTTCAATTTTCTTCTGTTTTTATGTCTTTTTGCTACAAATATTGGTGGAAAAGGTTCTAAAAAAGAGAAATGTTACAAATATTGACCATGTTGGGTCCACAGGAGTCGGTATATCTTCTGGGCCGATTGGGGCCAGCTACCACGGCTCGAGAGGGCCGGACTGGATGGTCAAGATCGCACAGTCATTGTCAGTGAGGACCTGTACTGGCCCAATGGTGTCACCTTGGACCTGCCCACCAAAAAGGTGTACTTCGGTGATGGACGCCTGGACTTCATTGACTCCTGCAACTATGACGGCACTGGGAGGCGGAGAGTTGTCATGCGGTCACTGGTAAGGCTCCTGTCAAAATTCTTGTCCGGTAACTATCTTGTGAAAAAACCTGACACCTACATTTCTGACCAGTAGGAGCCAACAAGTTCCCACTTGGGCTGTCTGAATTTAGGGAAAAGATCAGAAGTATTTTGCCCATTCGGATGCGCTCGGCCGCATTCCTGCTGTTTTGAACGGGAATTGTATAAATCCAATGTAAGGAAGAGGTCCCATGCCACCAAACTACTGATATAATCTTATTCATGCTATGATTTTCCATTTATTATTACCTTTACCTAGTTATAACCCTTTTAATCTTAATTTTAAATCCCTGTTTCAAACACGTACTATTCACTGTTACTGCTGTTCTGCCATCCTAGCTGTAACTCACCAAAACTTACTGGAGGTCATTGGAAACAAACAAACTTTCACTCACTGTGTAATGTTGAACATCTGGTTTGAAACAACACTGAATTTGAAATAATTCACATTATTTAAGGTGTTGAATTACTGAAATAACACATGATTTCTCAATTTTTGTTGTGCTAAATCCAAACTGTCATAGACCCAGGCCCTGCATATTTGCCTGAACTATTTGTTACACATGATGTACATGTGTTTAAACTGCATGCTCCAGACCATGTGGACCGCATGGCAGTGCCTGCCCGACTGTCAGAGGCAGCTCCTGGGCCCAGCACTTGGCCGGTACAGAAAGCAGTATTAAAGAAACAGGGAAAGCAGAACAGAAGCTATCCAGCTCCATTACTTGTGGCCTTCATTGTGTCTGCTGTTCCACCAGGACCTGTGTGCTCATTTCCCCTCGCCAGCTATTGTGAAACTTTCCCCCGACCTCATTGGGGCTTAGTCGCCATATCCTGGGAATTCCCCCTCCCACACAACCCTGCTGGCCAGTTGCCCCCCCCTCCTTACACCGACAATAGGCCCGTTCTTCTGCCGGAGAACTCCTGACTTAGGCGTGTGCCAAGGGAAGGACCGCAGCTCATTAGAAGTTCTATTGTGTGTGTCCTGTGTGATGTTAATTACCGTCCCCCCCCCACATGCATGCACACCCACAACAGCAGAAGTATGCAAAACATGGCAAGTTGTGATACATAAACACCATGTACAATGCCGGCGAAAGCGTACGCTAACACAAAATTTGTGATGGTAGGGCAATGTTTCATTTTGAATACAGGTTGACTCTGGCGAATTCCACGGTGAGGGCTTCACATTAAACCACATTGCATTCGCATGATGTATAAATATGTCTTGCAACTAAGGGAAAGTGGACTAGGGCACCGCAATAATTTTCAGAATAAGCTGCGGCTTATACGTTGATTCCGACGCTGAAAAATGTCCCTGCAGCTCATACCAGCGATTCTCCAGCACTCATTCACTTCATTTTTATTCACTTCACTTTATTTCACACACAAAGGTGGAGGGCCCACGAAGAAGCACCCCTTGTCGAGTAGGGACCCCTATACAGACATAACTGGACACATAAGACAAAATATTACGTATAAGTCATCTACATATTACAATTAACAAAGAAAAAATGTATAATAAATACGTGTACATGAATTCCTAGACAAATTAAATAATAAAACGTGTAATCTGTAGCCTGTAAGGCTCAGTCATTTGCCTTGTAATTATTCAGTAAACGCTTCCTATATTTCTGTTTGAATAGCGATAAGGTGGGTAAATCTTTTAACAAACCTAATGAGTTCCATAGCACTGCGAAGCAGCAGTGCTCTAAATCTGTCTTCAGGAAAACTGTGCACTTTTTGTGACATTTGTGACAATCCTTTCATGTTGTTTGTAAATTCTTTCCTTGCACACCGCAGAGAGACACACACAGCTCCTTGCTCTCGCACTTGGCCAGGGCCAGCCAGCCCGGGGTTTCCAGTTCGGCCATGTAATCATTCCTTTTAATCGCTTGAGGGCTTACTGTTTTGCTTTTCAAATGTTCAAGCACAAAAATAAATCATCAAAAAAATTTGTTTGTTTCCGTTTGTCTTTTCGTTCCTTTTCTTTCCTTTTTTACACTTTTAAAAATTTGAGTGAGATTTAGCGAGCGCATTCCAAGCACCACCCAGGAATGCATATCCATTATACACAGGGCTGTGTATGGAGAGTCAACATGTGAGCAGTGCATGAGTACTGCAGTTGGGCAGGTGGCAGCCAGGCTTTAGCCACGGCGTGTACAAAACTTCCTTCAGTTGGTCATGTGACCAGCAGAAAGAATTAATGAGCGAGGCCTCATCGAGATCGCAGCATGTCGCCCGCATATGCTGGCCCGGCCCGACCACTCAATGCACGGACAACATTCACCAAGCAGCCTGCTTTCAAGCCTGCAGTAAAAGGGTCGGCGTTTGTGTGTAATTATGTGTGGATGCCCAAAAATGTGTTTATTGTTGTTAACAAACAATTATCATAGTCAAATTTAGTCAAGTCATGGCAAGTCACAAATCTTGTTCCTTCAAGTCAAGGCCAAAGTCATTTTTTTCGAAGTCAAGTCTCCAGTAAAAATGGAAAAACAAAAATAACAACTCAAGTCCGAGTCAGTAACTCGAGTCAACACCGAAAAATCAACCTTTGGTGGTACCGAAATAAAGGCTATTTCGAGAACAAGTTTTATTATAAATGTACATGTAACTCTACTTTCCTAGACTTCTCAACTTGTTGATCATGAACATGGTAAAAATCTAAACTCATTTGCCAACTACATTTATACATCATATGCAAGAGATATAGGCCTGTCGTAACCATTTTCTGAGACTCCCTAGGGTCATCTTTGCCCTTAATAGGACATTGTAGAAGGTCAGTGGTTTGCAGTCTTGAATGGATTGTTAATGTAGGGTTATTAGTGACACTCTGTTAACTTACTACATGGCAGTTGCCAGTCCACACCTCTTCTAATGTGTAGCATAATATAACTCTGTATTTGGTGTGCCAATTTCAGTGTTTAACAAAGATAAATTTAATTTCATGACTTGACACAATCCAAAAACTGCATTGGCTGTAAACTTTGAGAAAATTTGTGCCCTTTTAGAAAAGTTAGGCATGCCAAACAATGTGTCCTCTCAAGCAGTTGCTATTAAGTTTTGGTGTTTGGCATTTAACTGGTGTTAATATTGCCCCAGGGGATTACAGGCGGAGAGAGAATAGCCATACTTTGATTCTGGTTCTTGCTCAACTTCAGGTAAAAGGGTTATGTGTTGTAGTCTGTCTGCTTGTTTCCAATTTACAAACACTGAAAATACTTACTTCCAATTTGTTGATTCTAAAATTAAGCTATACACAGAGGATCAGCAACTGAATTATTAGAGTGTTTCTCCAGACGAAGGCAGTCAATCAGCTTTCTGTGCCTAGGGCACCACTGATTTTTTTGTGAGGATGGTCATTCCACTGAAAACTGCATAGCCATAAGCCCTATCAGGTCTGCAGCAAGTAATCAGGACAAGTGGATATTGACCCAGATTAACCTGATAGAGATTGTTGCAGTCAGACAAATTTTCCCCACGCCGACCCGATTTGAATTTTTGACAGGATGTCAACGGCATCGAGCCAGAAGCACAAAAAGGTGACTTCCCCCTACAACCTTCCTCCAAGCCCCTCTTAGCTAAGCCCTCCTAAACAGGCATTTCCCAGGCTGTGCCTTTGGACGTCAGTGCTTGAACTACATTGTACTACGTTGCATGGATTCTCTGATGAATTTGCAAAAACCCAAATGGACCCTGGGGCAGTACAGGAACTCATATGTTGTGTGATCCTTGACCCTGTGGCCATGTGGCTTTATTACTTCTAATTTATTCATCCTGAAGGCATTAAGTTAAAAAATCAGATCAATGGTACTACGGTTCAAATGTCTTAAGTTTGCACCCTACTCTTGTCTTGTTTGGTTCATTACAAGATTTTGGTATCTATAAAGTAAATCTGCCTGTGGACACAAATAAATTTTGCATGCCTTTTCCTTACAAAATGGGTTTTGTGTAATCTTTAATTTGACAAAAATCTTGTACATTTGTAATCTTTATATTATTCTTGTACCTGCAGGGTCAATCCCGGATCCATTCCATCACCATATTTGAGGATTACATGTTCTGGACAGACAAAGGGAACAACGAGATTTTGGCGGCCAAGAAATTCAATGGCGAGAACATGACTCTGTATTATCCGTACGTGTACAGCTTAATCGACCTGCATGTGTACCACCCAGCCAAACAGCCATCAGGTAAGGTGCTAAGCAAAGAGAAATGTTGTCACCAGCCAGCTTCAGCACCCGATCTGATGACCCACTGCTACTTATAAGTGTGACCCACTGCTACTTATAAGTGAGGCCTGTGCAGCAAAATAACCTGCAAGAGCTGTTATGTTAATATATTTTCTTATGATGCAATAGAGTAGGCAAACTTAAAAGTGAGGCTAGTCAGCATCACGAAAATTTGCAAACAGAAGGCTCAAGCAAGCCTCACTTACAAGTTTGCCTACTCTATTGCATCATACGATAATATATTAGCATCACAGTTAGAGCATGGCTATTTTGCTGCACAGGCCTCACTTATAAGTAGCGGTGGGTAGTCGGATTTGGTGGCTTCAGAGACTGTTGAACTCAGTAAACCCAAATGTCCCAGAAGTCTTAGTTAACTTGTATGTCATTGAAACTGCCTAGGGAGTTTTTATTTATTTCATTGTTTCAAAGTAAGGGACATCATGAGAAGCCTATGGTGTTAATATCAAGTGACACAATTCAGTCCCAAAGACTTTTGCTGAGTGATGTTATCAAATGCCCTTGAAGAAGATCCTCACATGAAGGAAACATCTAGATGTTGTGGAAAGTAGACAGGAAACCCATGGAACCACAGGTTCATTCTGCAGCCACATTCAGCCGTATTCAGTGTATTTGATTACGACTTGTATTTTGATGGATGCCCTTACTACTATCTAAAGAATACTAAAAATGAAAATTATTTCAGTATTCCACTACAGGAAGAAAACAGTAAGATCCAGAGAGTGGATGAAAAGTTACATCTAACCCCTCGTAAATGCCCTAAAAGGTCACTTGCAGAAATTCTCAAATTTTTGGCCCCCATAAAAGGCTCTGCCCACCCCATAAAAGCCTAACTACATAAAGCCCTTTCTTCTTACATTATTATGCTTTTATTAAATCCATCTGCATGACTAATATTGCATTTGACAGAAATCATTGTGTTCTCCATAATAAAAGCAAGCAATATAATATTAAGGAATAGTTTTGAAACAGCATTTCATTCACATCTTCTGAATCTACCAATAAATCAAGATATTTCTATAGGCATGAGCTAAATAGACTTGCTTACAGTTGACCCATGCAGATCTGGGTAGAATTATTTCCCAAACAAATTGCTTGATAGCAAACAGTAGAGGTCAAGTTCCGTGCTAGATACCATGAAGATAGGCTTGCAGAGTCACATTCATCCTGTGTTTCTCTGTCTTGCCTGGCTTCAGGGCCCAACCCTTGCAGCTCCAACCCTTGCTCCCACCTGTGTGTTCTGTCATCAAAAGAGTCCACTGGGTACTCATGCCTGTGCCCTGTAGGCCAGACACTTCAAGCGGATGATTCTTGCAGAGGTGAGTTTGGAAAATTTATCAAAAATGAACCTGTCATAGCAAAAGAGAAAGACATCTAGATGCCTGTGGCATAAGGGCAAAGACTGTGCATTCCAACAGAGAAGGGTCTTGTGCTCTCAGCGTAACCTGCGTAAAGTGTAAATGAGCCTGTTTATGCGCATGATATGCCCCCTGGGAAAGATATCGTTGCCACACGCCATCTTACACATGTTGCCATTGGATAGTACCAACCTCGGACATTCTTGTATCGTCAAGAAAATTAAACATTTTATCAAACGGTGAAACATTGTTTTAAGCTGGATTTAGGTTGATGGATTCCTTCATTATTTCTCTCCTTTTGCTACTACAACCCCAACCCCAAAATGCTTGTAAACTATGGGGGGAATATTGTGTGCAAGTGGGTAAGTCCACACAACACTTCACAGCCTGTGTTTTGTGGGCATCTTTTGTTCTGAGGTCCCCACAGAGAATAGGATGCTCATGGAGCTTATGTTGTATGTCTAGCTGACAAACACAGATCCTTTCATTTGATTGGTGCCATTATTTGCTGCCATTCGTGGGGGGGGGCTGAGAAAGTCCCATTTCCCCATGGCAAATGGGATTTACACTTCAACAGTCAGGATCTTCCTTGTTCCCACAGCTATTGAACAGTGGACCCAAACTAACTTTGAACTGCAGAGCACTGCAGATCAGAACCTGGAGAGAAGGTTATGATCTGTGCTGTTTTGTTACTTGACACACATTATCAGGGCACACAGCACACATTATCAGGGCAGGTATGTCAACGTTCGCATCCATATCGTATCTCATATATTTGTATTTAGTACTGTTTTCCAGTGCCCCAGAACAGCAGGAAAACAGCAGAGGAAGTCCTGTGAGTTCCTCGGTGGTTAAAAAAGTCACATTCCACTTCACAGTAATCAAGAATTGTCAAATGTTCATACTTTAACCCTACATTATATTACAAATTACTACTTGTAGTAAAATGTAGTACTGAGCGCTGTTGCTTGTAAGAGGACATGACCTTATTGTTCTCAGAAGCCATAAAATACAATAGATAAGACAATGTATCATTCAGTGCTCTGGCACCATGAATGCATGGCTTTATTGTTCTCTGTACAAGTAACAATGGAAGTAACCTAGCCAGAACTAGTAATTTTTAGTGCTAGGTCCTTTAGGCTCAGACTGTTACTTAGTATCTTGTAGTACTGTTTAGTGTATTAAGCCAAACAATATGCTTGGCGGTTAGGGTTAATATATACAGCCAATGATTTTCCTTTTCAAAAATGGGCTTTTCCGTTTAGCCAAATCCCGAATTCTGCTTCAGAAATTCATATTCTGTTTCATACCTTAGTAAGCATGAAAAGGAGAGCAAGTTTTAAACTATGCATGGAAATCATTTGCCCAAGCATACTCCCTCCCTTCAAAAAAAAAAAGAAAAGAAAAGAAAGAAACAAACAGTGTTTGGATATACTCTGTAATGTTTCCACCTTTATTAACTTTTCTGCTGTGAAAATTTAAACAAAAATCCAAACAATAAATGTGGCATCCCTCACCCCTTGATTTCCTGCCAGAGTGATCATCGAGAATTTGCAGTGATTAATCATTTTACAATTCACTCCTTGTGAATAAAAATCATATTACGTTTAAATACAAGTACAGTGCATATGTACAGTAAAGTTGTAGAGTAGGTCTTGCATGCAACAGTCATTAATCTCAATTTGTTAATGTTGGACATCGACCCACTATTTTATTTGGCTGTGGTTTGACAAAATTCAGAAAGTTAACATTAAATCTGAGCCTTAAAATGCATGTTTGTGACTGAAAACTTTGCTCTTCATCAAACCCCTCCGAGGGCCTATTCAGCTATGGTACACCAAGCTTACTAGGTTTCATTTAATTCAAGAAATATGAAATTAATCTGCTGTTTTGCTGCTGCGGTTTCATCGTTTAGCCATGCGGTACTAGCTTTGTCTCATTGCGTCTATGCGGATTCACAGACTAAATTCCCCATGAGTGCAATAAGCATATGTGTAAGTATGAACTTGTTTGCACCTTGATTTCATTGCAAGTACAGTGCACGTGTGAATGGCCAATGTGTCTACCGTACCCCGCCACTGCGCTGTGCCTTCCGCCCCTACACACTTGGGACTCACGCATGCCATAGTGTTTACAAGCATCGGTACTGGTGCAAACGACCCAATCATGTGGTGGAGGGGTGCAATTTAGCATGTTTCCGGCATAATTCATTCATTAAAAGCAAACATTTTAAAAGGGTTTGGTAGGCATTTATTTATAGTGCTTTGTGAACAGTGTTCTTTACTTTTTAAGCCATTCTTAGTGGGAAATTTTTGCAAGTTCCATTTCAGGCAATGGAATCCATTTTCAAAGTGTTGATTCCACAAATCCTGTCCATTTTATGTGATCGCGGAAAATCATTGGCACTACATACTTTCAGGGGAATGCAAAACAAAGAGTATTTGACCTTGCAAAACATTTGCAGCAGAATTCACTGAGGTTGAAATATGTTACGCTTTTGTAAATTTGCTGTACAAATATTTATTTTGCTTTTGCATTTACTTTTGCACCAAATCACTCCTAAACCATTTTATATACAATTTACAAAACTTAAACATTCATCCTATGAAAGGTTATTCACCACCAAAAGTGCACTTAGTCCTTTTGGATAATAGCCTTTTAATACATGAATGAGAAATGTTTACCATTCTATTTGTTTGGCAGCGGCTGATACTTTCTTGGTTGTGGTACTCCGCCGCATGATCCAAGGTATCAGCTTGGATCCCACTGACCTGTCCCTGAACAGCATCCAGACAGTGACATCTTGGGACGCCTACGATGTGGACTTTGACAAGGACAATGGGCTCTTGTACTGGTCATCGGCAGTGGTGGAAGGTCACGAAGAGGACAGCGCATATGTAAGAATTCCTGTCTCTTATACTGCACACCGAGAATTCTGAACACCGAATACATCTGTTTTGCAAGAAGAGGGGTTGGTTTCCCAGGAGAGGGTTATGAGTTGTGTAGGGCCCTTGACTGATTCCCTTTTGTTCTGTGCTGAACTCAAAAATTCATTTAAGTGTTAGATTTGTGTTTAGCAGCTTCATGAGGTAGTCTTCATCCTTGTATACTTTATGCATTTTCACAGTCTATCCCTGAAATTTCCCCGTCCTCAGTTCTACTAGATTTGCTGGTTCCTTAACCAGCCAGTTACTTCATACCTCAATGGTAACGGTCAGAATTTAGGTTTAATTTGCTAAAAGTTTAGCAGCATTTCAATTTGCCGTTTAGCCAACACAAACAACAGAGGCGACCACATGTCAACTCTGTTTCCGCCTAACAAGTGAGTTTTTTAATGCAGGTATGTAGCTCAGCAACAATGCATATTTGTGGTTGTCCGAGTGTATGGCGATGTCCTTTTACTGAGGACATAGGACTTTCCCAAAAAACAGAGAGAGAGAGCGAATGGGAGATGGATGCAATTTACATGTATCACTGTGTAATTATGAGGAATATATTCATTTGGCCTGTTTTCAAAAAAAATGAAATGTTTTGTAGAAGAAGTTGTTTATAAATTTTGAGGCCTGGAAAATTGCTGTAAATTAATGTCAAGAACAGGAGGCAAAGGACCATTATTTTCATTATCCAGGGCAGTACAAGAAAGTGGTAATCCCCTCACTGCAAAAAAAAAAGCCAAGCTCGGGTCCAGGCAGCTTGCTGGAGAGGGCCCAGGTCGGTAATACTGTTTCTTGGTCATACTGTTTCTTGGCAACAGTGGCATAACTCTGGGACTGCGCAAGTGTAACATCCTACCAATGGCTGCTTTGCTTACAAAGAAACAACTTATCAATTGGCTGAGGATTTACGATCAAAACATCAAAAACAAAACAGACCCAAATACTTCAAAATATACATTGTGTCTAAGGGAACAATAGAGCTGTCAATCACTCCTGGGGAGATTTCTTTTTCTGCAGAGCTGAGATGGATTTATTCTTGATTTGTTTTTCATCGGGTTTTGCCGAGCCACTCGAAAATAATCATTTCTTCCGACATAGTTTTTGGTGTATTGGTGTCTAAATCAGATAAAAATCATGGTATTAAGTATCAAAACAGCTGAACATTTTTGTTTGATGTTTAGACAAATAAAACCTTGGGTAGCCAATCCTTCATCTTACATCAGAGGAACGTCTACTTTTTCTGCCTGCTCAAAAACCATTAGGGTCTATTTACACTTTTGTCTGTCTTCAAAATACGGATAAAGCAGGAATTAATGGAATTCGATATGATGCACGTACTGGCAGAATACACCAGAAAAAAATACCAGATAGCAATTTTTAACCTTTTTTAATCGGGTGAGATTTTGGTACGCAAAAAGCACACTTGCAGCACGGCGACAGGGACACATCTCACTTGGTGCTGTAAATGGTTGTGATTGGACAGTCACCATGTGAGCGGTGCATCTGTGCTGAAGTTGAGCAGGTGGCGGCACCAAGGCTATAGCGGTGGCACACACACATTTAAAAGCTTCCTCTATCCAGTGTGGTCACCACATCGCTACCACAGAGAATCAGTGATTCTTTTGGTGGTAATGAACAATGTATTTGAGATAAAGAGGAGTTTTGAGTTTGCAGACTTTGAGTTATCGAGAGTTCCTTCCACTTGACCAGGTGCTGAAGTGTTTCGAAATGTAAAGACACTTTTGCAGCATCATTTGAAAAGAAAAATTAACCCAGATTGAGTCAATTAAACTTTGTGCAACCTCCAACAGTTAGTTCCATTTAAACATTTAGGAAAATCTCTAAACAGGTAAATAATGTTTTTTCGTTTAAATGGTTAAATGTTTAAACCTCCAGCCCTTACTCAATGGGCATTGAGGCATTTGAAGTGTTCTGTAAGGGCACATTCCAGGGCGTATTCCAATCTTGTTTGATTACTAGAACAAAGGAGAAACATGTAAGTTAATTGGTTGTACCACTGTAGGATTCTTGTTCACTGAATTACAACGCCACTTGTCTTCTGTTTTCATTTGAGAGGAGTTTATGTATTTGTGCAAAGTTCTAAGAGTTGCACACTTTTAAATCAAAAGGTGTAAGTTGCAGATTTTTTTTTCTTATCCTCAGAGGTCCATTATGCGAGCTGAGTTCAGCGGAGTCAACAGCTCTATGGAATTTGCCCCCACGGCCTACCTGGGCTCCCCAGTGGGTATTGCCATCGACCACCTCAGCCGCAACATCTACTGGACCAATCCCGACAAACACACCATCGAGGTCATGCGGCTGGACGGTGACAGCAACTACCGCCGCAACGTAGTGGAAAACAGTGGTGGTGAGACATCTGTGATCTTTGACCCTGCCGCGATCTGCGTTGACCCCGGTAATGGGTAAGTACTGGACTCATTCTCTCTGTTTTTACAAATTGTACTTTTTCTTGTGTCTGCAGTACTTGATTTCACAAAATTTTGTGCAGTATTGTAACTTCTCTTTTGCTACATAAATTGTTGTGTAAGTTATGCAATAAATTATGGTATATTTAATTAAAGCTGTGCGCTGCGTAAGTCTGCAACTTATGGAGTGATAGTAAGTGGTGTAAGTTAATTGTGCTGAACAAATCGGAAATGGACGATTATACTAACTAATCGTGTTCCCTGTATAGGCTTTTTATTGCCAAGATATTGAGTTTGTACAAGAAATCCACAACTCTGTCTTTTGGGGTATGACAAACTTGTTTCACTACCCAGTTCCAGTGGGGAAAAAAAGACAAAAACATTTCAAAATGGTGGACAGAACCAATTTGACAACTATTTAATGTCTTTTTTCAAGATGTACTTTGAGTCAGGGAGATGTTTTGCCCTTATCGTTTGGTAAGGGCAAAACCCATTATTAAATTTTTAATGTCTACCGTACAAGCTTTGACCAGAAAGTTTTGGCATAAGGCTTAAGCGTGGTGCAAAGCTCTGCCAGGGTTTGTAAAATCACCTTCTTGACAGTACATAATAGTGCTATAGCTGAGTGTGCTACGCCCCAACTATAGCATCTGTCCAACTATAGTTGGGACTGCAATAGTGCAGGCCTACCTATAGAACAGAGTGCCAGTGTATGCCGTTGCATGTACCAACGTTAATTTGTTTGTATTAGCAATGTGTGCTTGCAGAACTAGTTTCCATTTGAGTCACTGATTGAGTTTACTTTTGTTTGGTGTTGGAAAGGGTGATGTATTGGGCTGAGAATGGAGGCATGGGCCTGTCGCCGGCAATTACCCGAGCCAACATGGATGGCTCGGGAATGAGCACGATCATCACGGATAATCTTGGCCACACTGATTTCATCACCTTAGATATTGAGCAGCAGAAGCTGTACTGGACTGAGGGCATCAACCAAGTGGTAGGTCTTTCTTTTCTTTAGCTGATACAGTGATGGGGAAAAAGGGATCGGATTGCTGTGGTGAGCTGGGGAAGTCTCATGACAGAGAATATGGTGACACCTCAACTTCCACAGAATGCCAGTAAAATCTGAATTTTTTTTTCAAACCATGGACATGAAAATATGCTGATCTGCAAACTGTTGCAACATACAAAGTATTATTATTTGCTCTGAGTGGAACAACAGATGACATGTCTTTACATGGCAAATTACATACTTTTGGTGGGAACTCACAGCATGTGCATACAGATCTATTTGTGTTTGGTACAGGATGCACTCTATGCACCAGTAGGGCACCTGTGTCCCTGTGTAGCCAGTAATTCTTGACTTTCACCCCATAAATGACAGTCCAACTTGCTTTACAGATGATAGTTATAAAAAATAGGACACATATTCCAGAGATTGTGTCTTTCTCTCCCCATAAATAATGTTGTGACTTGCAGTACAGACAATACTCAGATCATCACATGACACACCCATGCTGTATTATGGGCCCGTTGCCTGGGGGGGGGCACTTTTGAGAAGTTGGCTGCCTGATTGGTTAACCACTTCGTGCCGGTGGCAGTTATCAATGTTGATGATGCTGGGGTGGGATAATTATCATTTTTTCTGTTTTCTTTAAAACTTCCTATCTTCATTTACTGGACACTTACACCCACACGAAGGACTGTCTGGTTTCTACTCTAATCTGACAGACAACATATATTAATGCTGGAGTATAGAACGCGGTGGTGGAACGCTTTGTCCCTGGTAGTAATCTGCTAAATCCCCAAAACCATGGTATACTGTTTCAAAACAAGGCTGGATTATCCTCCACTATTGAAAAATGTTGGTAATGCCCAGCAGCCTGGTCTTTTGTTACGAGTACAGTCTTTTGTTTTAAGGCCCAGTTCCCTTTGTCCGACTTTGGAGACCCCGGCCATGCGTATATGGAATATGTATCCAGTACCGGAAACCCCAGCGGCAAGTGGTTAAAAGCATAAGCATAAAGAACATGGTAAGACATCCTCAAATGTGCCCCCCCAACTGATACTGTGGCGCCCATTAATGCCTGAAGCTGGCAACGGGGCTGTGTAAATAGCCAGTGATGCCATCCCGCAAGTACTGTAAGTGATATCCTGATTTGTTACACATGTGAAATCCTATGACATCTGAAACCTGATTTATTTTTCAAGATAGGTACTAACATGGCTTCTAATACTTGAAGTAGGAGTTGCTGTGAATCTTAGATGGCAGCCGGGTACCATCTATCACCACAAAATGGTCTAAGAAGGCAACTGCCTTTTGTGGCTATGCTACTCTTTCTTAGAGAAATACTAGCATCACAAAAATAGGTGTAAAAGTTTTCCGCAAAACAAGATTTTGGTTTAATGTACCATGCAACAATGTCTGCTCTGCTCAATCGATATAGGGTGATTAAACATCGCAATAATTGCTAACATTGATTTAGAATATTGAGAAAATCTAACAAGCTTTCACTTTAACAAATGCATACACACTTGTACCGAGACTTTCCTGTACAGCTTGTGCTGGTCCGTAGCTCATCAAGTTTTCTGGTTCACTACACTTGCTGTTCCAGATTGAGCGTTGCAATGTGGACGGCACTGGCAGAGAGACCGTCGTGGAGGATGTTCACCATGGCATGGGCATCACTGTGTATGGCAACTACTTGTACTATGCCGGTGTGTTGCCCATGGCTTGCTTCTCATTGGATTATCAGTTTTCAGAATCCTCAATATATACTTTGCCCATTTTGAGACTCTGTGAGCTAATGCATGCTCAGCGATAGAGCAGTATTGTTTTGCATATGCAGTGCATTGCTGTGTATTCCTGTTGCCTGACCACTTGAGTTGGCTTATGTTCTCTTGGAAATAGACATATCTCTCTCAACCATATTCACACACATGATTGCATCACATGCCAAGGTCCTCTGTTTCCTGGTAGGACACATTAAGCAGGCTGTTAAGTTGTTTTTAAAATGCAGTGAACATAGTGTTGTTTTAGCGTTGAGTTAAGAGAATTAAGAGGAACAGTCTTGAACAGCCTGCATCACTGTGTCTTTCTCCGGCTCTGTCTTTGTCACGCAAGGTTACCTGCAGTTAACAATGGAGCCTATATTGCTTCAAATCTATCGTACCAAATTTACCCAATGCCTCTGAAAATGCACTTTGATTTGGTCAAGTTCTTGAGTAGAGCATGGCACCCAATTGATCACAAATTCAGAAATTGAAATTGACCTGGCCTGGCCTCTTGTCTCAAGTACAAAACTGAGCCAGTTGACTCTCGCCCCTTCTAATGGAAACCGAAGCAAAATAAATTACCAGAAAAATGGCCTTATGACTCACTTGCACCTCCATGTGGGTCACATATTGAAGAAGCAATGTGAAACTCGAGGAGCTGTGTACATTCTTTCTTAATACAGATTCTGCATATGAGAAGATATTTCGCGTGGACAAAGAAACAGGCCAGAATCCTGTGGTGATGCGAAGCAACATGCGTGAGCTGAAGGCCCTGAGGGTGGTTGCGAGGCCTGGGCCGACGTCTAATGCCTGCACGGAATCCAACGGAGGATGCCAGCACCTTTGTCTGCCCACGGGCCCAAACACGAGGGCCTGTGGGTGTGCTGTTGGCTTCATCCTCGAGTCTGACGGAATAACATGTGGAAGTAAAGTCAGCCATTTTGTTTGTTTTTACATTGCTCTCCTCTCATTTATGCATGAATTAGTTCTGGAAAAAACAAACAAAACATTCTTCAAAAGAGTCTATAGACAGGGTTCCTGTGGCATGGTAAAGTCATGAAATTTTGTAAAAATGACTAAAGTCATGGAATTTTTCAAACACTCTGTGTGATTTCTATTATCAGAAATAAGTGCATGAAATTCAAGATTTTATTCGCAACTTTAAAGTTCCAACAGTCCAAGAAATTACATTAATGGGTCATGGATTTTCATAATTTGGTCATGGAAAAGTCATGGCATTTAATTGTCCTTTAGGTGCAAGAACCCTGTGTAGAGAAAGGGCCAAGAAAAACCTAGAGATAGAACAAACACATCAAAGTACTTAGTTTTGGTTAAAATCATTGAATGATATTCTCATGGGCATCCATGGGATAAGGTAGGGGCTTGTTAACCCCGTCAGTGGGATTCAAACCTAGATGACCGAGATAGGAGGTTTAGAAAATACCACTTAGCCAACCTGACTCCTTCACTTCTGCTTGTTGTTTGACCACCCAATAGTTTACTTATCATTTGTGGCTTAAAAATGCTAAAGGGGGGTTGCATTTATATGTAGTACCAATTTGGCAAACAAATGGCAAGTTTGATAAATGCATCATGTCTTGCAATCTGTCACTTGTCACCGCCAGAGCCGGGGCATGTTATATCTTTCTGTATTCCTTTATTATTGGTAATATGTCTGATGGCCCTCCTTTAGACTTGAGCTCCTTTGCCGTGGTCTCTCAGCTGAAGGTCACCCGCGGTTTTGGCCTGGAGGGGACAGACCACCCTGAGGCCATGGTGCCCATTGGAGGAAGAAGTAAGTCCAGCAAGTCCATGAGTGTGTCGTTTTGCAGTCCTTGCCCCACTCCCAACTTGCATGTACTAGGGTCATCATTGATTCATGACACCACAAAGCTGCCTTTTGAGGTGAAAACCTTGCTTTATTTAAAATGCATCACAGGAAAAGCTTGATTGATACTTTATAGGCTATGTTTCAGCATGTTACTGGTATTAAAACGAGTGCACAAAATGGTAGAAGTATGATCCACAGGCAGGTGATAGTATACTACTGGCAGTCACGCCTAGAGCATCCCTGTATAATCTTGCGTCACGTAACTATTTCAAGATAGCAGCAATATAGGTATTAAATGTGTTTGGGATGTAATACAGGAGTAATAGGTGCCCAGTTTTTCTAGCACCTGGGAGTCTTGATAGTAACACCATGAATGCAGCCTTGCCAAACAGAAGTAGGATACAAGGACCCGATGCACATTAGAAATTCACTTGAATTTTGTGTGAATAATATAACGGCTATTATTTATAAGGTATTCAAGTACATTTTAGTGTATCTGTGGAATGCTGTTTGTCAACATTGGACGATCGGTGATTACCCAAGAGATAACAAATGCAAGAAAGAGTCAGCTTGGCAGCATTAATCTAAAGTGTCATTTGTCTCTGCAACCTGCAGGCAGATACACCCTTCATGTTGACGTCCACGTGGCAGAGCAGTATATCTACATTGCCGACTACGACCCCTCTAACCGCAACAATGGAGACCGCAATGGCATCCGGCGTATCAAACCGGATGGCAGCGGGTTCCAGAATATTGCCGTGGACAGCCTCGGCCACTGGGGAACCCGGGGGCTGACAGTGGACTGGATCGCTGGTGAGATGATGTTAACGTGGTCACTCGGTTTGATATTGCAGTCACTGTTCTGTTACAACTTCCTTATGGTCCCTTTTGTCAGGTTGCCCCCCTCGTGGGCACATTGGTAATCAGCAATGCTTCACATAAGTTACAACACAGTGCATGCATTCAACAAAATGTTTTTTAAGAGTCGTTGATGTGCGCTTGGCATTGGTATGTTACTGGGCATTGTTCTTTTACTTGACTTCAGCCGTGTTCGCACTGGACTTTTTTGGTAAACCTTACAGAGACTGTTGTCAATGTAACCAAATTAAATCCAATGCGGACAGCCAGTATACTACATGCGGTTGCATAAACCATAAACACAATATAAACGTCATGGCAGAGCGGAGTGTGCCAAAAGCTGTAAGCCCTACTTCGGCCGTTAATTGATTTGTTGTACAGTTGTTTTCCTAATAATCCCAGTTTACAGAACTTTTTTGGTCAGATTGCAGCTACAAAAAAATCCTCCGATTACAGTGAAAATAATATGGTCAGTAGCTTGGCTGCCCAGTGTGTTGGAGAAACTACAGAATTATTTTCCAAAATCTGTTCTTTTAATTTGGGCTTACAGGATCGTCAAAAGTCATGACGACTCTTTTCCTAGTTCTGGATTGGTTTAACTTGCGAATCACAACGACTTCTTAACAAAGAAAAAGTAACCACGCAAGAAATCCATGTTTCAATTAGTACCATCGTAACAAGCTGATTTTTAAATGAAGAATTTTTTAGTTTAGAGAAAATTGATTCATACATAAGAATTCCAAAGAATTAAAAGTAGAACTTGCATAAATTTGACTTGACTCAACTGTACAGCAAGCTGTCAATAATACTGTCCCCCACACCACACAGTTGACGGACCAATTACATCATATACATTTCTGCTATGCCAATGTAGTTGAGTTCGCAACATATTTGTGCAAGTGTGCAATTAGTGTATGATCCGAAAGTAGGGAAAAAACATTTAGTTTTCGACCCAATTTTTAAAAAAATTTAAATGCAAAAATTAATATGAATGTGAAAAAAGTATTTGGAATCACACGTAGTGGGTTACATATTGCCCTGTAATTTTTTTTTTGTTGTTTTTTGGGGGCTCCGGTCATGAACCACTTGTGTCTCACTCCTTAGATAGATTTAGTTAAAAACTGAAAATATATGTATTGTGAAATAAATAGAATCGTTTACTTTCCTTAGACCACATCCGGTGTCACAATATGAGGTCAATTGGAATTTACCCTTGTGAGATTCTGATAGCACATGTCGCTGCATGGTCACCGACTTTCTGCAGGTCTGAGTAATCCACGTGCAGATGCACAAAAGAAAAAAACCATGATGGAATGTTAACAAGCAGAAGTGCGAAGGTGGCTTTAGGGGAAGTTGAGGGTGCTTGCACTTTGTATACTCTCATGCGAAGGTGGCTTTAGGGGAAGTTGAGGGTGCTTGCACTTTGTATACTCTCATGTGGATTTTATCACTTTTTGTTATTTACTTTTACCTTGTCTTTTATCATGTTCATAAATAATAAGATCAGCTGTGATAGGGGTTGTAGGTTTTGGTGTAATTTAGTTACACAAGATTTATTTATTTGTTTAAATTATTTTCCTAAGATAATATGTTTTTCTTAATTTATTTTTGTCCATATAGGGTAGATTCTGTCTTTGTTTCTAACTTTGTCTTGATGTGTTGTTTTGTAGTGTGAGGGCCCTAAACAATCGGCTTTTAATGGATGGGTTACCCTCATTAAAGATGGTTCAAATAAAAACGAAATACAGTGTGCTAAATATTCAGACACTCAATGGAAAACATTAAGGGAATCAATGGAAAATCAATGGAAAGCACTTTTTTTATGAATTAAATATATGGAAGGGAAATGTTCTGAGATAAAATAAAAGCTCGATTATTTGGTTTAAACATTGCATTCATAGTGTTACAAGACACTTGAAGACAGCTGAGCGATAGGCCCAACATAAAGGACAAAAATACTTCTACTGCCCCTCCATTGATCGGTCTTATTTTTATGGCCTGAATCCAATGTGATACATGGGCAGCTAAAAAAAAGGATGTGTTGTCTTCCCAATATGCTCGATTTTGAATTTTTTTTTTTAATACCAGAAATGCTTGAAAAAATTATGTACTGTTTGTACTTGTTTTCCTGTCTACAGTTACTTTTGTATTCAGACTAATTCAATTTTGAATGAATGGTCAAATATCTGAATACTGAATTATTTGAATTGATTCAGTCCAAATGACCAACTCAAGTTCACCATAAACCTCAATATTTGGCCACTGTTGTATTTGTCATACAATACTTTGCAGGAAATGTTTATTGGAGCAGTGCCCATGTAGAGGAAAGCTTCGTGGAGGTCAGTCAGCTAGATGGTAGCCTTAGGAAAGTCCTATGGAAGACGAGAGATGACAAACCCAGGGCCATGGCTGTCAACCCCATCAAGAGGTAAGGAAGTTCCAGAAAACCATGGTAATGGGTGCCTGTCAGGGTCAGATTATTAAAGTACCCCTTTGGCCCAAGGTAGCAGCTGCAATATTAATGTTACATCACTGATAAATGCTGGATCCCTGTATTTCAAGCTGTACAGCATAATTATATATGAACATTATAGGCTAGGTGCTAACTAGTTAGAGATTTCCTAAAATTCAGAAAGCAACTGGAACTTTTTTGTGTCTGTGTAGGCCTTCAAATGTTTCATAGGTCCTTGGTACAGTGCCAACTATGTCTACAGGATAATAAGTTCCACAGCACTGTTTGTAAAGCCACATACCCAGTGTAATCCAAAAGGGGGTGTACCTTCCGTCCCCTCCCCCTCAAGGTACCTCTACTGGGCCGATTACGGCCAGACACCCAAGATCGTCCGATCATTCCTGGACTGCACTAACCGCACCGAGCTGGTGACTCGCTCCATCCTCATCCCCCGCGACATTTGTGTTGATGTCCAGACCCATGACGTCTTTTGGGTGGACTCGAATGTTGAAGTCTTGGAAAAGATTGACTGGCAGGGAGGCAACCGGCAGACAATCCGGGCAGAGCTGCCCAGACCTTATGGCCTGGCTGTCTTCCGAGACTCGGTAAGAAAGGTAGCCATGGGCAATCTGACTAATGATGTGATAATGTAGATAAGCCAGTCTAACAAAGCAGTTGAGCGGTTGAGTAAACTGCACTAGAATTTTACTCTTTCTTGCAAATACTCAGATTCCTTGTAAACCTCTCTGTCTTTAATATTCCTTAGACTATTTATCAAAACTTCATCACTTTCTATTTCATCATGGCTTGATAAAAGACTCTGTTATAGCATTGATTTGAAGGTCTTGCTTAATATTACCGAGTAAGACGCTCATGTGCACCAAGTCAGCATCATGCACATTGGCTTTGGACTGAGAGCTTGTCTGGTATGTGTAAATACTACAGCTCATAAATATTCTTAAACAAATCAGAGGTTGCCATAAGCCTTTTTCACCTTTCATGTGTGCATGCTCAGAAGATTTAACAGAGGGAAACAAATTCATGAAACGTTACATAATGTTTGGAAAACTGATGCTCGCGATTGTTATTGTTGTAGGCAATTTATTCTCCTCAAGCTTTGTCCACTTACTTATATGGGAGTGCTAAAATCAATATGGCGACGGAGCGGGAAATTGGCTAATTATCGGCCAATTCCACCGTGCGTCCATGAAGTAGAAATGAGACATACCCAGGTTACGTCATCCCAATGAGTAGCTACCTCACTGCCATGCAGTAGTTTTTGTGGTAGCTCCAAAAATTCCCTCTGATGATCTGACACCCACCTTGTAGACAAGTAGTGTGTGGCATGCAATCTTTACAAAACCGGTCTGTTGTTGAGTCTTTGTTACTACTGCAGTAAAGACACATTAAAGAGTGTTGGCACCAGACTATTTCAACCCTGTTGCCATGCAGGGCACACTGAACTCTGCAAGCAGCTAAGAAACAGTGGCGTCTACAAGTGTGTTGCTAGAAACCATCATTTTATGAGATGAACATTTATGAGGTGTATTCAAACAAATACAACATGGTTTATTTATGGAAAGTAGTGGGAATTACTGGTCCCTCAGTATGGGTCAGCTTGAATATCTCCCTCCGTTTTGCATGGGAAGGTAGTGGAGCTGACCTACACCTCGGGACCAGTAATTCTCGCTGTTTCCCCTCAAACCATGCTGTATTTGTATACTCCTTTCCCCCGTCAAATGTTCAAAGGTTTACTGGGTGGACAGAAACTTGGAGAAGATTTTTCAGGCCAGTAAGCTGCCCAACAGCAACAAAGACCCAGTTGTGTTTCGCAGAGACTTGGAGAGCTTGAGAGATATTGCCATCTTTGATGCCAGCAACCAGCCATCAGTGGGTGAGTGGAACAGGATAATCTCAATGCAGCCTGGCCTGCTACATCCAACCCATCTTACCTCACACAATACGTCACTGTGTGATGCAACCGACAATGTGATCAAGCTTGGACTAAACAAATGACACCTGGTGTTGAAGTAACAAATGTTTTGCCTCTGCAGCTGACAGCAGCGCATGCAGTGTCAACAATGGTGGCTGTGAGCACCTGTGCTTTGCCATGCCTGAAGGTGTTGCTGTGAGTCGAATTTGCCAGTGCTCTGTAGGGTACTTGGCTGACAATGGACAGGATTGTCTGAGTAAGTCATGTTTACCCGTTTTTATGGATAATGTTCATTGCAAGGGACTGTAAATTCAATGCCTTATAAGAGGAATGTTCTTTAGAGCAGTAATGCGCATTTACTATGAAGGCTGTAGACATGCATGGACCCACGTATTTATAGTTTTAGTTCTAGAATGGACAATTTCACAACACAACTAGCTGGATTTGCTCTTGCTTGAAATCAGTCAGGCACATTCCCTGATGGTATGCAGTGTAAAAGTCCAATATCTGACATCCAATAAGCCATTAATGAGTTAAATTTGAATAAAATCTGGTGCACTGAGTTATCTGACTGCACACAAACAGTTTGAATTTCCCAGACTAAAGACACTGTTGCTATACCTCGTGATTCAGGGTGAGCTTTTGCATAGCGACAACCATCTCGGGAGTGGACTGGTTCCTTTGTGCCCTTCTTATCCGTTGAAAACAGTGTATTGTTTAAGGCATCTCTAACTAAGCAAAAGCTTGCACCAAATCGCGAGGTATAGCAACAGTGGTTTTAGTAAGGAGAATTCAAGTTGTTCTGTTCACGTGAATTTAAAGAACTCAGTGTACCAGATATGGGTCAAAGTTAACCGCAAAAGGATTATTCCTGCATAGAGGTGTGATATGGATCGGCATCATTGGCTCCTAGAGTGACATTTATGTACAACTGATTCACAACTTGGAAAGGCCTTTTTCACTGTGCATTATATTGTGGGAGAATGGTCGACATCTGCTTCTTCTTTATGGTATTCCTTTCCTACAATGACTCAGTAGCACGTACACACTTTGGATGTACATGTACACAGTTTGAGTGATAGTGGGGGTTAGGTTGGTAAAATAGGAGAGTCAGGTTGGTGTAGTGGTTCTTTTCTTTGCCTTTGGACTTCACAGTCTGTGTTCAATTCCCAGCTTGATCCACATGAAGATTAGGTTTTCAATCCCCACCTGACTCGGAACATTTTCTTGAGGTTTTCCTGATCACACCTCTACAACTGCAACTGCTTCTCATGTCTCCTGTCACCGGTTTCTTCAGGCATGTGAGCAATAGTGCTGCAGGTGCTTTGTAGGAATCCCTGGTTTTGTTTATACCAGAGATACTTCATTATTTACCAGGCTTCTTGTGCATTTGTGTTTTTAATACCAAAATTTAAATCATGAAGAATGATCAGTAACTGTACTTTCAAAGGTCACGTCTTGGTGGTGTGATGTAATGAAATTTGGCCTCGGGAGACCCGGTGGTAGTATCCTGACTGCTACCACTGGTCACTGTAGCCCACTTTGACTCAAGTTCTTGTCGACCTCTCGTGCCTTTTTTCTTTTTTCAGACTTCACTAGTTACTTGGTGTATGTCGTGCCTCGTGGGATCAGGAGTGTGAACTTTGACCCCAGGAATGAGGCCGTACCCTCCCAGCAGATACAGGTAGACAACCTTCGGTCTCTGGTGGTGCATGATACCCTGCAACGCTTATACTGGGTGAAGGACAATCATTTGATGTACGTCTCTATCCATGGTGGGCCAATTGTAGATGTCAAAGAGTTGGACATAGGTAGGTGAATGCATTTGAAGGTACTCAAAAAAAGGCTGTTATCTTAGGTTTGGGAGATACATTGGCCACTGAAGATCCAAAATACAGTGGATTTATTGACCGAAAATAAGGATAACAGAAATGAGGTGCATCCTCTCTCCACAGCAAATTGGACCACTTTCCAAAACATGTGACTTCAGAGTTTGTGTTGGGCTCCTGACATCGCTGCCAGAGAAAACGTTTACAACTGTATATAATGCAGTATGCACGTAGCTGCATGCATGCGTGTGTTACGTGGAAAAATGGCGTGGAAACTTGCAAACAACAAAAACTCTAACTAAACCCAATTCCGATATTCTTGCATCTCAAGAGCCCAACCAATCGCCCAACACTGAATTATTCATATTGCTGCAAAAAGATCTAGCGTACCCGGCAATGAGACTGTATATTTACATGACGTACATTGTGCAAGACACGGCTATCCAATCGCAATATTCCTTCATGATACTGTGCTTCTTCAGCGACCATCCCGCACGCAGGCAGCTGCGACGCAGTGGGCAAGTGGACTTGGACTATCAATCAATCGTGGTCATGCAGCTATAGTGTCTAAAATCAAAAGACAGACGTAAAATTAAATAAAAATGTCTCTCCATGACACAATTTGTGTTGGAAAGACTACTTGCAGAGATGGGGGTCCAGTTGATGAGTCTTCTTATTCTTGCAGGTACACACAGACCTACGTGTGCATGCCGTTTAGTTAAGCTTCGTCGTAATCCATGGCGATCAAAAGTCTTTTAAAAATCCCTGGATCGATGCTTTCACATGTATTTGCACATGCACGTTAAACATGTTCCATGACGGTGAAAATAATTATTCTAAACACATCACAGTATATTTGATTAATCATAACCGAGAGATCGTTTTGGTATCAGCATCAACCAGGTTCACGTGTATGCATGTACAGTACATTGTACATGGCAGTGTACACAATTGAACCTATTCATGCAATACACTGAAGCCATTGCACTGCGTTCCGCCTACAACAAAGTTTGGATACAATGAACATTTCCACTTGGTACTGCAGATTTCATAATAACGAGAGTCGACTGCACATCACTGATATACTTTGACCCAAAAAAGTAAGAAAGGTAAGAAAATATGAGAAAATTAAAGAGGTAGAGATCTAAATGATGATATAAGCTTAGAGTGGAAGTGTTTTCTAGACATAAAAGCTAGACAAAATTAGGAAACTTCAATAATTCAGAAAACTAATACTCGGAAAGAAAATTGACAAACCTTGACAAAAAAAGTTTAGAAACTGGATAATATTGATAATACAACTGACTTCTAGCAGAATAGGGCTCAGGCAGAAAACCACACTCTGGTTAGGAGGAACAATGCATGTATATGTACATGTAAAGTTGACTGGTCCCTGCTGAGCTGCCACACTGAGTGTGGCCAGACTATGTGGGTACACTATACAGGGAGAGGCTGGGGCTTAAACAAATAGGGGGGGCACACCACTACAAAAATCAAGAACTCTAAACTAAAGCGAAACATTTTTAAAGGGGAAACCTCTTCTATGACATACTTATTTCTAGCTCTGCAGCACATGCCTGACTGACGTGGTCCTGTTGCATCTAGAGAAACCATTTTGGATTAGTTAATGCATGACAAAAAAAATTGGATATGATATTGTAGATTGTATAGTCCCACCCAAGCAAGCTTGTGAGGTTTTTTTCACAAGCTCTCGGACAAGCACTGAGCATACAGTGCTTATTAATATACGTTGGATAAGGGCAAAACCGTTATATATAATTAACATCTCCCCAACGCAAAAAACACATCTCACTATTTTTGGTCAGAATAACTTCAAGAGCAGTTGTTTAGCAGTAAAGACATAAAAATTGTGCAAAGTAGAGTGGTGTGTTGGTCAAGTAAATATCGTGTGGGCTTACAGTCTATACACAATGAACATGCACTCGTGTCTAGGAACTGATTACCCATAAATGCAAAGAATGGTCAGCGTAGTGGCAATCAGACCACAGCTTCACAAATAGTATGCATGCAGCTACATGCATTCCAAACTCATATGGTCTGTTGCATCTTGAGAAGCCAGTTGGATTACTTAAAGGGAGGTGACACCTTTGTTTTTTTGCTGTAATTTCACAAGACTGGCTAATTACCATGATTACTGGGTGTACAAGATTTGCTGCCACTTTTATTCATCTGACTTACTGACTGGTATTAATTGGTTGAGTCAACTGCTTCATGAAAAATCAAGAAAACTAGAACCGCCTTTTCAGCGATAAACAGATCTTGTTATTTACATTGCATGAAATCCATGAATTACAGGGCGTTCATAGCAAGCGAACAATACCCGTGGGTCAAGTTGGGAACAGGCATGACAGGTTCTCTTTCTCTGTAAAAAAGAGCAGTTTTTGACTACCATGAGTTATTGCTGAATCTTCCTTGGAGCAATGCACCTCCTAGACATGTAACATTGCAGATTCATCAACTTGTAGCCGTGACACTGATACAATGAGTATATTGTGACGCCATGCCCCTTGGAGGTGGAGCGAGATTCGGGTGAGGGCGCCCTCCTTCTCAGAGCGCAGCGCGGACAGCACGTACCAGCAAATCCCTGAGCGGCTAGGGACGAGTCCATTGGGATGGAAGTATACCGTCCCAGTTGAAGAGTAGATCCTTCAGATTTTGTTGGATGGCTTGCTGTTATCTGATTGGCTTAGTGGTTTAGGCGGAACTCAAACTTACATAAATAAACAGTCTAGGACACCCTTTCACTATACACTGGAACATCAGGGATTGGTTTATTCCAACAAACATCTGACCATGGGCAAACCTGCTTGCCTGGCTTATTTGGAAAACATAACGATAGAGGGCGCTCCTTTAAATGAGACAAATTTAACATCGACTTTACTGGCCTAACAATAAAAACCACCTCAAATGAGGGAACAGGTCGACAGCAACTAACAGAGGGCACTTTGTCAATCGTAGCTTGTGGGCAAGGACAAAAATATATGTAACGTATTCCCCCCACAATGCACAATCTCTAAGGGGGCATAAACTATATCCAGGGCCAAAACCAATCTAGGGATGTCGCCCCACTCAGCTAATACTAAGTGGGTTCGGGCAACATAGCTTTACTTCTCCCACTCCGCACACACCAGGTAATAGCCCTTCCAACCCCCAAGTCCACTCCTGCCCAAGCGTACAAGAGAGCAAAACGCTAAGACACCATGTTTATTGTAAAGACAGCAATGCACGAGCACCACAACCAAGCAAACAGGCAGTAGGGGTCCGCTCGGGCTGCAACGAGACATTTGCCGGGGACGCTGCCTCTCGCTACTAATGCTGCAAGAGTTATGGCAGATAGCCCCTACTTCGACCAAAGAAGGGTTATCTTCCATCTGCCATATGTTAGGACCCTCAGAGGGTCCTAACGTCTCCACGCAACCCACCGTGACCCCTACCGCCCCCAAAAACAGGGAGTAGTGCTTACCGTGAACCAGTAGTCCGGTCCAGTGCTCAGAACCTAGCGGGCAAGGTTCGTCTCCCCCTTCACGCTTTTATAGCCTCACAGCAGCCCCGTGCTTGCACAGTACCTGCTGCGTACGTGGAGCAGTGACCAGCCCCGTCCATCCAATTAGCGCACGACTGGCAGGGCACAGTTACTATGCCTGGTGTTGTGGATGCTGCCTTAATCGCCGTGCTAGCATCCTCTTTTGCATTACAATATGCACATTAAAGTCTAAAAACTGCATTCTTAGTTGGCTAACTAATAATTATAGGAAAAGAGGAAAGTATATCTTAAGACATAGGTGATTTTAACATGTGGAAACCTTACTTTCTGTTGACAAAAATCCTCTCGGTATGTGGCTCAGAAACAGCCACCATGTTTGGACCATACCATTATGTTTTCGGGTGATTTTGAGTTCGCAATGCTCATGTCCTTTCCTTAAATAAATTTAACTTCAAACTAATCCAAGCATTTTTCTACCTTATACCTTACACATGGTACTTTCCTCTAAGTTTAGTTTACAGTGCATTTAGTGAATTTCACCCAGTTTATTTTTAACTGCAGTATTGCCCGTTCATTCATGAAGATTCCCACAATACACACTACCAATAAGACAACTGGTGCCTCACAAGGCATGTGGTGTGCAAAATAAAACAAACTGTTGGACTATGGTCGGTTGACCATCACGAAAAGAAGAGAACAAAATATCAATTGCTTTAATTGAGCAGAGATAGATTTGACTGAGGCTGTCATTTACTTTCTTTTAAGTAAGATATTTGAGGTTATACAGTGGTCCCATTTTTGTGATTTTACCAAAGGTGTCGTCTACCTTACATACATGATTTAAAAAAAAATGGTATGATATTGTTGTTCATAAAGGTGGTGTTTTTGGTCAGAATAATTTTGAGAGCTTTTTTTTTTAGGTAACCGTACAAAAATCATTCAAAGTGGAGTGGTGTGCTTTTCAAGAGAATTCCATGGGTTTACATTCTATGAACAATGTTCATGCACTCTTGTCTGGCAAAGACTGTCGATACAGTGCAAAGAATGCCAGTCTGTGCAGTGGTAACCAAACCACTGCTTCATGTAGTGTCATATCAGCCATATACATGTATGCGCAGGCTTGTTTCCAAATTTTTTCTGTATTTTTTATATTTTGCTGCATATGTAGTGATAAATATCTTTATTTTTTCTAGTGAAAATGACTATGGATATGATCCGTATGGTAGTAAGGATAATTATCTCATAGATGTTGAGGATGATGACGGCATTGACACCATGGTGATGGGAAACTTGTCATCCACTTCCTAGAATTGTAGTCATGTCGTAGGCACGTTCCCAGCCTTCACACATACAATGGCGGTGTAGTATCCACCAATAGAGGGCGGTCACACACACAGAATCTGGATCCCGAACACAGTTCAGTCCCTTTGCTCAACTTCCCCGAAAAATTTTGGGAAACTTCATTCCACCTACACACGGTTCAGTTTGTACTGATTGGTTCGCATGTGCAAAGTAAGACATCATTATTGTTCTTTGTGGTGGAAAAGAAAAAAATCACTGTGACTACTTTCCGCCAATGAAGTTACATTTATTCAACAATGCTGTAAAATCAATAGAGTGTTTTGAATTTTCACCGAACTTCACAAGTTGCAAGACTGTAATACTTTTTGCAATGCCCATTTGTGCTTAATTCTATTTTCAGGATCCTCTGTACACATCGCTCTGGATTGGATTCACAATCGCCTCTACTTTGCCTCGTACTACCGCAATGCAATCTACTCCACAGATCTTGATGGGAATGACCTGCAACTGGTCACGCATGTCCGTCAACCATTGCAACTCATTATCAATCCATGCCTAAGGTGAGCTGTCCAGTTTAGGTGTCGGAGGTCAGCAGCTTTTGTCTTACCCATACAACATTTCCCTATGCATATTTTCCCTGAGAGTGCTAAGAGTTCACACGATAGGCTACCTACTCTGCCCTGCAGCACACCCACCGGCTTATCTTCTCCCTTTCTCTCGTTGCCGTATGGTGATCATAAAAATTCCCTTTGTCATTTTCCCAGGTTTATCTTCGCCATCTTTGATCCACTTGTGTTTATTTTTCATCAATTTGATAAAGAGTGTGACTGGTTGAAAGGAGGTAGCCCACTTGTCCCCAGCAGACAAAGACCCCCCGGCTTGTTCTGCTTCATAACTTTACCCTACCCTCACCGGCCCACCTGTTTTTGGCCTGCTGATGCAGGCATGGAACTTTTCCTTGTTTTCCACTTCACATTGATGCCATTGAAAATTGAAAAACACTGCAGAAAGTCTTGTAAAGATTGGAATTTCCTTGTGTTTTGTCAAAGACCAAGTTCCATGCCTGGCTGGTGGGAGAATCACAGCAGCCCTCCGTTGCCCTGATTTTATCAATAACTTTGGAACTTTTTCATTGTTCGGGAACTACTGCAGCTTGGCCATTGTCTGAACCTGCGTTGGAAGAGCAGTGCTGTCAATGGGCCGAGAAAGGGAAGTCTCCCTGCAAGAAAAGCTGCAGCCCCTCGGTGCCTGAGGCAAATGCCACAAACGAGTCAGGTTGGATGTCCATTGCCAATTTCTTCCTTGCTTCTCAGGCATTCTCGGCTGCTCTCTCAGCCATGTCAGCAGCAGGCAGTCGGAAAGTTCACCTTAGTGCACACCATCACGCCCTGCGAGATAGGCATGTCCCAGGCATATGCCAACTTGCCCCCCGGTATTGCCCCATCCACCAACACCAGTGCCTGGCCATGCTACAACTCGCTCCCAGTGCTGCCCCATTGGCAGAAGTTGACCTTGGCTGGATTCGTCCAGACCAACACTACTTGCCTTGAGCCTTCAGTCACCCTCCTGGCTTGCCCTAGCCCCATTTTTGTATTATCCATTTACACAATTTTCTGACTCCAATGAAAATGAAGAGCCTGAAGATGGAGATCACTGCAAGCCCTGAGACCCCAATCTTTCCTTCCACATCATCCGCATATTCTATTCCAACCAGAGCCAAACATGGTTCACTTAGCTTCGAGAATCTTAACCTGATGTGCTGGGTATTGTTGAAGATTAAGGTGGCCCATTTGCAGCATGCAGTCATAAATCATCACATCCTCTGCAGAGTGTTTATCGTGAAACCTCCCACTCATAAGCTCCTATAATATTCGTTGGGTTCAGGTTGGTTCTTTTACACCTGATTCCTTACAAAGAACCAACCTGTGGCCAATTTCATAGTGCTGCTTAAGCAAAAATTTGTTTAACCACTTCGGACCGGGGCATTTTTCAATGTTGATGATGCTGGGCCGGCATGACTATCA